TTTGTGTCCTTGTGTGTGTCTTTGTGTGTCCTTGTGTGAGTCTTTGTGTCCCTGTGTGAGTCTTTGTGTCCCTGTGTGAGTCTTTGTGTCCCTGTGTGAGTCTTTGTGTCCTTGTGCGAGTCTTTGTGTCCTTGTGCGAGTCTTTGTGTCCCTGTGTGAGTCTTTGTGTCTTTGTGTTTTTGTGTCCCTGTGTGAGTCTTTGTGTCCCTGTGTGAGTCTTTGTGTCCTTGTGCGAGTCTTTGTGTCCTTGTGCGAGTCTTTGTGTCCCTGTGTGAGTCTTTGTGTCCCTGTGTGAGTCTTTGTGTCCCTGTGTGAGTCTTTGTGTCCCTGTGTGAGTCTTTGTGTCCCTGTGTGAGTCCTTGTGTCCACACACTGACAGAAGGGGGACACACAGACCTGCAGTCCTCTGGGTGGTCTGACAGGAGCAGCAGGAACTTGTTCTGGGGCAGGATGAGGGCGAAGCAGCTGTCCCTCCGGCCCCCCGGGGGTAACCTGGGCAGGTCCAGGATTTCCCGGCCCCCCACCACAGCCCGGCAGCCGGACTGCAGATCCACCACCTGGTCCGGGGGGGACTCTGTGTCCCGGCAGACCAGCAGGCTCCCCTCCACTGTCAGGACCAGGTACTTCTCCTTCCACTGCTTCAACATGAAGCCTCCTGCAGACAAGAAGCTAACAGCTGAAGGTTGGTTTTATGTCAGTTTTAGGACAGGTGGACACAGGACAAGTGGACACAGGACAGGTGGACACGGGACAGGTGGACACACAGGACAGGTGGACACAGAGGACACACGGGACAGGTGGACACACAGGACAGGTGGAGAGAGGACAGGTGGACACAGGACAGGTGGACAGAGGACAGGTGGACAGAGGACAGGTGGACATACAGGACAGGTGGACACAGGACAGGTGGACACACAGGACAGGTGGACAGAGGACAGGTGGACAGAGGACAGGTGGACAGAGGACAGGTGGACACAGAGGACAGGTGGACACAGAGGACAGGTGGACAGAGGACAGGTGGACACAGAGGACAGGTGGACACAGAGGACAGGTGGACACAGAGGACAGGTGGACAGAGGACAGGTGGACACAGAGGACAGGTGGACAGAGGACAGGTGGACACAGGACACACAGGACAGGTGGACACACAGGACAGGTGGACTGAGGACAGGTGGACACAGAGGACAGGTGGACACAGAGGACAGGTGGACACAGAGGACAGGTGGACAGAGGACAGGTGGACACAGGACACACAGGACAGGTGGACACAGAGGACAGGTGGACAGAGGACAGGTGGACACAGGACAGGTGGACACAGGACACACAGGACAGGTGGACACAGAGGACAGGTGGACAGAGGACAGGTGGACACAGGACAGACAGGACAGGTGGACACACAGGACAGGTGGACACAGAGGACAGGTGGACAGAGGACAGGTGGACACAGGACAGGTGGACACAGGACACACAGGACAGGTGGACACAGAGGACAGGTGGACACAGAGGACAGGTGGACAGAGGACAGGTGGACACAGGACAGGTGGACACACAGGACAGGTGGACAGAGGACACAGGAC